CAAGTCAGTCATTTGAACCAGCAAGGCATTGCCTAGCGGGCAGGCCCAGGCTGTGGTCCATCCTCATGGTCACTCACAATAGTCACCTCCTGCTTCCCCTTCTTGCACTAAAAAGGAGGACAACACTGAAGAAGCAGAGATAGAGAGGAAAGGTGAAGATCGTGTTTGAGAAAGAACATTCTGGTAATGTGGGGTTAAGAACCCTTCCTTGGACAGGCCTATGTTGTCCTTCCTTTCCTCTGCTCTTTCTCTGGCAAAACAGGCCTGGGGGCCAGGGGCAGGGCTGCAGCTGGGTAAGACACAGCCTGTGTCCCTAAAGAGCCTTCAGGCTAGAGCAGGGGACACCCCAGTTAACAGGAATGCAGTGAGACTGGGTTGTGTCCTTGAAGGTATATGGATGCTCTCTGGAACACTGGGCTAACCTTGCAGATATCAGTGGGATTAAGGCGGGGGGGGGGGGGGCCCGTGATGTAGTGTGAAATGCTTGCTGTGTGATTATGAGGGACTTCAGTTCAAGCCCCTCACCCACATGAAAAGCGGGATGTGGTGGTGCACACTTGTAAACCCCATGCTGGGGAGGCAGAGACAGGAGGATCCTGGCACTCATTCACAAGCCCCAAGTCCCAGTGGGAGACCCTGTTTCAAGACAAAAGAAGGATACAGGGTCTCCTGAGGGAAGCCACTGAAGGTTGACCTGTGGAACTAAGAGGGGTGACTTCCTAAAGCTTGCGGGAGAGAGAGGAGAGGAGAGGAGGTTTGACAAGACAAGATGGGATGATAAAGGGCCTTGTTTGCACCCTAAAGACGTTCTTTGTCACTGAGGACGCAATGCAGGTCATGGTCATGCTTGTGAAAGGTCACCCTGGGCAGAGGGTGTTCGGTGCACAGCAGAGGGAAGAAGGGGAGTGACAGATGCGATGACATCCACTTTGAAAAGCTGTTCCTCTTGGACAGCTGCTCATTGGCATGGCCTAGGTGAGCTGCTCATTGGCATGGCCTAGGTG